AGAGATTTAATTAAAAGTTTTAGCTTCAAAGATTGTGAGATCGAATTGGTTTATTTTATTTTTATTTAAACTTCAAGTATTTGTAAAATCTTGTTGTGCATACAAAACATTAGTGTTTGTTATCTGTTCAACATAACCCATTGTGCATATAACTTTGATAGCATATTGTCATTCAAGATTCATGAATCTGTAATTGTTCAGTTTGTTTTGATGCTAGTGGTAAATTAGTATCACACTAAAAAGATATAATCTAATTTGAATGAAACACGCGGTTGAATTCATTGGTTAGGATCGGATCTTTCTAACTCTTAATGCTATTAGTAAACTAAATTCTAGTAGTGTCTTGGGAGTTATTTATTAATAAGGGTTAATCAACGAACGTCTCTTGGTTAATATAAGATTAAAGAAAGATTAATTGTTAGAAACATCTCAAATAATTAGAACTGGTTTATTGAATGCTTGTAGGAATTGTCTTTGTATCAATGATCAATCCTGCAAGTTGAAACAGATATTACTTCTTTAACTGGAACCCACTCATAACTGATTTTTACTTCATTATTTTGCTTAATTATTTTCTGCTTTTGTTGCTTTAGAGTTTGTTGAATTATTTAATTGTTTTGTCCCAAAAAAAAAAAAATCTCTAGTTTTTAATTTTATCACTGGCGATAAGAGAATATTGGTTCTTAATTCCCTGTGGAGACCCTATTCATTGCTACTACAATATTATCTTATTGTTTGAATATGAATTTATTTTTGGTGTATTCGATATCCATCATGTTCCTAATAGCTTCTTTTAAGATAATTATAAATTTTGTTTCCTCAGTGAATATTTTTGTAGAGAATATGATTTTTTGGAACTGAAGCTTATTTATTTTTAAGTAAGTAATTTAACGAGAAATTTTCTTACTTGTCCAATTTCTAATGAATCAAGATAACCATTCGTTTCTGTATAAATGGTCATTATCTATTTTTTCAACTTGAGAGAGACTAATTGAGATTGTTTAAGTAATTCACATAATCGTTGACCTCTTGCCAATTGATTACGAGTAGTTTTATTGAGATTAAGAGCAAATTGTACAAAAGTTTCTAATTTAACGATTGAGCTAATTCTAATTTTAATTTAACAGCTATTTATTTTATAGCTTTAATTTGAGCTGCAAATCTTATCATTGAGACTGAAATACTTACATTGTTGTTTTCAATATTTAATAGATGGATGGATCCATCTCTAATAGAAATTACATTAATTATTGAATTTAAGTATAATTTTTTTTCCTATAAATTTTTATAATTAAATTATAAAATCAAAAATTAGATTGAATCAATTTCTCTAAAAATGTATGGATAGAGATGGTTTTTAATATTATAATATTATCTTTAGAAATATAATAAATCCAGTATTTTGTGTTCTATCTAGTTGCATTATCCAACCATACATTTCTTAGTAAGTGCGCGCGCGTATATACACACACACACACACACACATCAGAGAACTAAAATTTATAAATTAACATTTTAATCATTATATTTAATTTAAATAAATTTAAATTTTTTTTCAAAATTTTATAAATTAAAACATACTTTTAAAGTAGAAGATATTTTATTAAATTTAGTACAAATTTGTCGTTAGCCACATCTGAATAATTTGTTTATAATGATTATTACATTTGGAATCTGTACTTTTAGTTTCCTCGTTGTCTTTTACAATGTCACCTTCTGAAAGCCAGGAATATACTACAGGATATTATAATACACAGTCATATATATACATGTATATCCGATTGCCACTGAGTATCAAATTGGAACCCGCTGTCTCATTCTCATCGTTCTCATGGCTGTTTGTCTTTCTCTTTTCACCATCTTGACCGTTGGTCTTCTCGTCTCCCTCTCCTTCACCGTCGGATTCGATCGTCCGCATCGTCTTCCACAGACCGGCGTCAGACTACGGACGAAGCCGGAGAGCGGGAATCGTCGAGTGCGGGCGGGCGCACCGTTCAAAATCGCAGTGTTCGCAGACTTGCATTTTGGGGAGAATGCATGGACGGAGTGGGGTCCAATCCAGGATGTGAACTCCGTCAAGGTGATGTCCACCGTACTTGATGCCGAAGCTCCAGGTGAGTGAGGGTTAATCTTGTGAGGTAGATTTTCTTTCTCTGATATCATTAATTAATTACCAGTTTACTTTTTCACAGTGTTTCTTGTTTGTTTGATGAGAAAATGGTCATTTACCCATGTTGAAAAAGGAAAGTTAGAAAAAAAAAAAAAAGGATCTTTGTCAGTGGTTAATTTTTGCCTGCGATCTTCCAGAAAGGTTCCATTTTATGATGGTCTGCATATTTCCTTTACAATTGGAAACCAACTAACATGATAAAGTTGGTAAATATGGAGATGCTATCAATTTGTGAGTACTTTTCCATCTTTTCAGTTTTAATAAAAAAGAAAAAAAAAAAAAAAGAATATTGGCATTTATATATTCCTGGATATATTTATATACATATATGTTTATGTATGTATATATGTTTTTGCTTGCTAAAGTAAATCGAATTTATTTGAAGACTAATTATTAGTTACTTCAAAGTAAAAATAAATTAGATAATTATTTCAAGAAAGATGTTTTCATTTATATTTTGACAAGATGGTAAAAAATGATTCATTGGTTACTCATGTAGCCACATCTAAGATAAAAAGATTGACTATTATCTCTTTTTATTTTTTATTTTTTTTATTTTTTATTGTTTATCCTTTTCTTTTTCCATATTTTCTCCCTAACTAACAAAAGTGAAATGCATATTGCAGATTTTGTTGTGTATCTTGGAGATATAGTTACAGCCAACAATATACCAATTCAGAATGCAAGCTTGTACTGGGATGAAGCAGTTTCTCCTACAAGAGCTAGGGGAATTCCTTGGGCCAGTGTTTTTGGAAACCATGATGATGCATCCTTTGAATGGCCTTTGGATTGGTTTTCCTCTAATGGAGTTCCTCAAGTTTACTGTCCTCTGCCCAATTCATCCTTTTCAGGTAACAATTAAATCTTAGAATCTGAAATGATTTCTTTTGGGGTTCATTTTGCAGGACTTAAATTAGTTTGATTCTTGTTTGTTTAGACAGTTTTTATTTGGATATGAGGTTTAGGAAAAACGTCGGAAGCTTCTTATAAGTTCATATTAGTTGAAGAAAGAAGCTTGGTCAAACAATCTGGGTAAAAATCGTTGTGCTGGTATAAGTTATTAGTTTTGTTTGCATCGTAGATTAATTAGTGTCACTGGCTTCTCTTAAATGGTGGGGATAGTTTTCATGCCAGGTGAAGAAAGCTGCAGCTTTCGAGGGACGTCACGCCTGGGGCTGATGAGGAAGGAGATTGAGAATAATGAACTGTCCTATTCTAGTATTGGTCCAAATGATCTTTGGCCTAGTGTATCCAACTATGTCCTGCAAGTCTTACCATCAGATGATCCCAAGTCACCATTAGTGTATCTGTACTTCTTAGATTCTGGTGGTGGCTCCTACCCAGAGGTTATATCTAATGCTCAAGCAGAGTGGTTCAAGCAGAAATCTGAAGAGATCAATCCTGATTTAAGGTACACCTATGTGAAACATTGGGTTTTTCTCACCACGTAGTCGCGGACATAGTATTGATATCTATAGGGTAATAAATTGTAACTACTATCTGCGGAAACACTCTCTTCCATGCAAAAGCAGAATTGTGTGCCAATCAGACAGACATAAGCCTTAGCAGAGTTGAAAAAAAAGGGAGTAGATTGGGGGTTCGGTGAAAAATGAGTTGTGGGCTTAGGGTGGGATTAGAAGTAGTACTAAGTTTGTTAAAATAATTCTTATGTATATTTTTTGGTTGTTTGGAAAGAGAGTAACAAGAGACATTTCAATGGACGTATGATGGATATTGGTAGAATTAGAGTTAGATGATTTCATATTTTTGGGATGCTAATATTGAGTCGTGACATGTATATTGTAAATTCTTTGTATAGGGATGATATCCCATTGGTGTCATATACGTAATATACAGGTTTTTTTTATCTAAAAAAACGGAGGTTAGACACTATGATATTAAAACCTGATATCATATACATAATTAACCCTACTTACTTTTTTCCAAAAGTTTAAGTGGTAAAAATAACCCAATTATTATTTGTCCCCAATTATTTTTTGTCTTGTATCCTAACAATTATTTGTATTGCTGAATTTTATTTTACTTGAATACTTCCACTGGAAGGTTTGGAACTGGACTGAGAGAGAAGTTCTGAATGCTCTTCTCTGATTGTTTCCTCTGGATATCTTCATCTAATTGACCAAAACTGTCTATTTTGACAGGGTACCTGAGCTAATCTTTTGGTATATACCAAGTAAGGTTTTTAAGAAAGGGGTTCCAAAGTTTAGAATACCCAAGCCTTGGGGGGGTTGGTTTAACATGGGGGGGGTTGTTGTTCAAGAAGGGGAAATGGGTTTAAGGAAGTTTTTTGATGATGGCCATTTTGACAAGGTAACGTTACTATAAAAAGTGATACTTTTAAAACAAGTCGAACAATAATTGCAAATTTTATTTTTTTTTTTTTGGGTGTTGGGGTAAGAGTGCAAGGGGCCATTTCTGGAGGAGGGGGGCAAAAACGGCCTTTGGCAAAAAAAAAAAAAAAAAAAAAAAAAAAAAAAAAAAAAAAAACCAAAACCTACTTTTATTGATTACTAATGCTGGAACTTGATTGCTTTATGTCGTTGGATGTGATAGATCAAACAAGAAAATTAAAGTAGAAAAGCAAAAAGATACAGAATATACATGATTGGATCAAAATAACCTACTTCACCAGAGCAATGAAATCGGAAGTCATTACAAAAAATTCACCAACTTATTCGTTTCTCTCTCTCAAAACCAAACAAAGTTACAATAAACTCAAATATTATCAAATAGCTAACATAGTTTGAAAGGTAAAATGGGTTTAGATTTCCGCAAAGAAAAGATGTCAGGTTTACAAAGGACCTGGGAGATTAGGATCTGAAGAATTCATGTGAGCTTATTCTGAATCTGAATCCATTGCTAGAAATTTGTTTGACAACAAAAAGACAAAAAATTCAGAGAAGTTTTTCTTTTATTTTCTGTGAATGGTGGCAGGCAGTGTTTGTGGGACACAACCATGGATTAGACTGGTGCTGCCCCTACAAGAAGCAGCTTTGGCTTTGCTTTGCTAGACACACTGGCTATGGTGGATATGGAAATTGGGCTAGAGGAGCCAGATTTTTGGAGATCACCAGGCAACCCTTCTCCATAAAGTCATGGATAAGAATGGAAGATGGTGTTCAACACAGTGAAGTTATCTTGAGTTCTTAACAGGTTATTTCTCCAAAACATGACTGATGAATACTAAGAGTAATGAATCAGATGAAAAAGTTTTAATATTAGGTCATATAATATATATATATATATATGTGTGTGTGTGTGTGTGTGAAATATGTGAAAGTGACTTTTTTGTGTAAATAAATATTCTGATTACCCCCACCGCTCAAGCTCCTTTCTGCAAATTGGCTTTACTTTTTTTTTTTTTTTGGCTCAAATTATGATAGATTCATATATCTTTACCCAAAAACTTTTCTTGGAGATATGATTAACAAAGGGTATTAGGATTATGTTGTATCTAATCAAGAGTAAAGCATAATGATAACATCCAATTCTCCAATCTTAATAACAGGAGGGGGAGATGTATCACTGTTGGCAAATGGAATTATGTGTGAAATAATAGAGTTAGATGGGCTATTATTATAAAAAAAAATAAAATAAAATAAAATGAACTAGTAGAAATGATTATTATTCTAATTTTCTTTAGCCATTACCAAGCTAAATAACTTGAAGAAGTAGATAAAGCACAAATTTATGTATAAAATCTTAATATTAATTAAAAACAACTTATGTCTAAATTCTTAATATGTGATTATGATACCATCTAAAATGTAAATTATAAATGATTGTAAAAAAAAAAAAAAAAAAGTTAATAAAATTTTATTAATAAACTCAAGTTGTTCTTAAAATTATGAATAGAAATGTAATATTGACAAGTGATGATTGAGTTAGGCATGGATCATCCTTCATCATTCAAGTGTTTTCTAAATTAATTCAAAAAAAGTAGACCTTTTAATGTAATAAGAGTTAAAAATAGAGTGTTAAATGAGAGTTCATTAAATATATATATATATATATATATAGGTGTGGGAGTAATCATGTTTATATTGATTAAGATTTTTGTCCCCTTGGATTGGATGACTTTTCTCACGGGCATTGACCAGCTCAAAAGCCAACTTTATGCTCTTTCAAAGCTTTGGCCAAGTCATTCATAGCTACCTAATTCGTAGGAGGGTTGAGACCAAAAATCTAAAGGCTTTCTACTTCTCTTTTTATTCATGAAAAATTATGAATTTCCAACAAAACTTTAATGCACTTGAAAATAAAATTATAGTGGTAGAATTTTAAAATTAAAATCTCGAATACATTGGATTAATATGAGAATGTGTGCTCTTAAAAAGAAAACTAAAGTTGGGTGCACAAAAGTTGGACCAAAATATCTTCTTCCTAAAAATATATTAATTTAAATTATAAATATATATTGAATTAAACATTAAATAAATATATCATATAATTTCAATTTGAATTTAATAATTGAACAGCGTATAAACATTATATAAAAATAGCCGCTACTTATATATAAGAATAAAAGTAATACAGTTTCAACATATGAATTTAATATTTACAAATTATGAATCATAATATTTGATACATCATAATTCAATATTTAGCTTTATGAACTATAATATCTGATTACATTTTCTTATTTAAGTTGATTACCACATTCTAAAAAATTCTACTACTTGAAATATTATTATTTCTTAAGAAGCTTGTAAAGACACAGCTTTTGGCACCTACCTCTTATAAATTTATTTTAAACAAGTATCGAAAGTGTCGTGAGTAGGTCAAGTCATCATCATCGTCCCCAGAAAATAAGTTCACACCCGAGCAGGTGGCTTTACCCTTCATGATGGAACGAGAGAAGGAGGTGGTTTTATAACTTTCAAGTCCCCAACCACAATAATTTCCAGGCTTTGTTTCCGCATGTGCCCACAGAAGAAACTAAATTAATCCACGCAGCCCACATGGCTGTAAAGTTTGGTTGCTTATGAAGAGAGAGAGAGAAATATATATATATATATATATGGGGCCACTGAGGCCATTTCAGACATTCACAAAACAGACATTTGAACCGGTCACCGGGAGTTGTGAAAACGACAGTTGGAAGAAAGAAGAGAGAAAATTAGGGATATAAAAGCATAAAAATGGAGTAGGAAACTTTGTATAAGACCTACAGAATTTACTCATCATCATCATCATCATCATCATCACAAAACACAAACCATCATCATGTGCCACATCATTGGAAGAGTACTACCACATTAGTACATATAAGACCTGGTGAGTGATCCACTGATCCTTAAAACACTGAAAGTTCAACAGAATTCTTCTATGATTGAAGATATTACAGGAACCCATTTGGCTCATCATCAAAACCCATGAAGATTTCAATGGATTTTCCATTTTTGTCAAGATCATAAAATGGGGAATTTTCTAGCTCTTTTCTTGGGTGTTCCATAAAATTCAGGTTTGTTTACTTGTGTGTAGTTTTCCATTTGTGGGTTGTTTGAAGTATAGCAAGAAATTGGCAGCCATGGCTGTCCTTGGATTGGAGTTTCCTTTAGCTTTTTGCTCTGCCACACCCTATGTTTGTTAAAAGTACCACTTCTCTATTCTGAGTGATTTAGTAAAGGCCTGTGCTTTTGAGGATATGTCGAAGTTTAAGTGAATTTAGCAGATTATGGCTTATAATTTACCAGCTATAGGGCATGTATATAGCTAGGTAGAGCTTGATGGATAGGTTTTCTCCTGCAGAGTGTGTGTATATATATATATATATAGAGTGAGAGAGAATATTACACTGTAATTTAGTCTATTGTTATTCAAAAATAGGGTTATGATTCAAGAATAAGTTGACATGATTGCATCAATTCCAATGGCAAAGAAGAGATGCTGGTTTGGTTGGTTGAGGAGGCTTTTCACTTTTTCTGAGGCAAAGACAAGAGGAGAAAAGGTTGATCTTCTTATGTTTAATGTATTACTATTTTGGGTGAGTACCATTTTATATTCTTCCAGAATATGATTTTTTATGCTTACAGAAATCAAAGAGATGGAGAATATGCATATTTGGGAGGGTCAAGTTCAGGCAACACCCTGCACTCAAAGCACCAGCTCTAACACTGAGTGAAGCAACAGAAGAGCAGAGAAAGCATGCCTTGAATGTAGCCATTGCAACAGCAGCTGCAGCTGAGGCTGCAGTTGCCGCTGCCCAGGCTGCAGCCAAGGTGGTTCGGCTTGCAACTGCCTCCAAGTCCAACAACCAGTTTAAGAAGCACGATCGAGACTTGGCTGCCATCAAGATCCAAAGTGCTTTCCGGGCACATCTGGTTGGTTTCTTAAAATCCTCGTCTTTCTGTACCCTTTTCATGTTTGCTTATTTTCAATTCAGCTCAAATAATCAAGCACTCAATATGCATACACTCATACACCCAATTCAAAACTTTATGCTGGTCAAGAATGAAAACATAGTTTCGGTTTAGGACTAGTCTGATATAGCATACAAGGAGAATGTCCTTGAGAAATTTGAAGTTAGGACTCAAAATTTACCATGCATTTCTAAATGAAAAGCAGAAGAGCTTAATCTTTTGCATGCAAAGTATGAACTCTGATTTAGTTTAGTCTGTCAGTTTTGCTGGAATCAATGCAAATTGTTTTACATAAAGCTAATTCTATAAAAGAGGGATTGTGGTAAACATGGTTGCCACTCTTCTTGATCTGAAACTGCCACTCTTCTTGATCTGAAACTGTCTTTTTCATTTTGGCCTGATTCAAATATAACATGGAGTGAAACAGGCAAGAAAAGCACTACGAGCATTGAAGGGATTGGTGAGGATTCAAGCCATTGTCCGTGGCCGAGCTGTGAGACGCCAAGTGATGACCACATTGAATATTTCACCATCCTACGCAAAAATTCAGTCAGAGGTCCACGAAAGTTGTAGTCCTACTGCTGACACAATTCATAAGGACAGCGAAAGAAGATACCGTCTCAAGCCAAAAGAAGAGTTGAAAAACAAAGAAATAAAGGTAGAATAGATTATCTCAATCAAGGAAGTCTTTCTATGATTCTCTACCTACATTTTTATACTGATATTTATGCATGTACCCGAGAGATATAACGAGTTAGAACTGCCTAAAAACAATCAAGAAACTCCTGTTGCCAATGACATTGGAAGGAGGCTTTCTTCTCGTCTTTTTATCTCCGAATAATGCATTGAAATGATTTTATAGTTTCTCCATTTGGTATTTTAGAACAAGGAAACAACTCAAATGCTGAGCAAACAATTAATTTCACAAACTATGACTACATATGCAGCCGCATGGATGCTGAGTTTGTTTCTTATTTTATCATGGGCAGCATGAATCAAACATTCAGAGAAGGTGGGATTATAGTGTTCTTTCCAAGGAAGACATGGAAGCCATATTGTTCAGGAAGCAGAGCCATGATCCAAGAGAGAGGATTTG